GTTGTTGGTGTGGTTGTGGATGTGGTGGTTACTGTCATAAGTCTTGTTGGAATGGGGGAGACCTAAGTCTCTGCAATTCTTGATAAGGTTGTTGGCACACAGGTTCTTAAACATGCTGAGGCCTCATCATCTCTGGTTGCCTTACCCATTGGTCCATTAGGTTATAATTACCATCTCTAGGGCCTTCGTATGTCTGCTGTGCATACATTTGAGGCCTTTGTTGCCCCCCAAGTCCAGGTCCTGGCCCCATGTCATTGTTATTAAAATCAAAAACTAAGTTTGGTGGGGAATCCTTTTATCTCATTAAACTCAAAGATAGGGTTTGAATCAATCATCTCCTCATACTTTTCTTGGAGTGTAGGTCTGTAAAATGACACCTGCTCATTTGCAGGCAAGGCCTTTGTAGGCTTTGATGTATAATCTTGTGGAGTTAAAGAAGGACCAAAGTTTACCTTACTTCCATGAGCTTCAACTATGAGTTTCCTGGACCGATTTGGCCTGATGTTATGCTTCTCAAATTTAGCAAGGACTTCCTCAATTAAAGCCTGAATGTCATGTGGAGGCAAACTTGCAAGAACTCTACTCACATGCAAAACTAGTGTTTTCCTAACATCCACTCGAAAGCCACTTGTCTAGCCTTCCATGAGTACATTGTGGCCATATTTTTTGCCATCACCCTGACCAGCCACTGAATGGCTATCATCAACATTGTCCTTGATTTCTTCATCATTACCTTCTCCTAAGACAATGCCATCGAAGGGCCTTTTCTCAAGATCCCCATGCATTTATGGGGACTGGTCAGTTTGCTTCTTCTTAGCCATTACTCCAAATTGGACAGGGTCCCACTGGGCATGCCAAAATACGTTAGCAAAAATCTGGTTTGGGTGTAATATCGACAAACAACAAACAAACCAATTTTCACAAACAACATTATCAAGCAATGTGGTTGAGTGTTTTAATGTCATGATAGGTTCAAGGACTTCTTTGGAGGTTTACTTCTTGAAGAAACAAAGTAAATACAACTAGAATTTTATTGATAATAACGAAACTTGTCTCTTTAACAACAAGGATCAAATTACAAGCCTTTTAACACTACAATTGATAGAACTTTACACAAACTACAAATGCTAACTGCAACTACTACTGCTACTCCTAATTACAAGAACTGCTACTCCTTGATACATTACACTACTCCTAGATTTCCCAGGTTGTGAGTTGATCTCTTTTTCTTCTTTTTTTTCGTCCCCTTCTCCTTTGAGTTTCCAACCTTTTGTCACTGGCCCTGCTGGTCATATGTTGACATGTCTCTTACCATGGAGCAGGTTACCTCCACTCCTTGAATAATTGTCCATGATCCCCACAACTGCCTGTAATTGCTTCCTCTATTGTATCTTCTCTTTCTCTTCAATCTGTGCAAACAAACCACGTGTCTTATATCAACATATCCCTAAACTCATGGCTCCACTACTGGACCACGTTTGACCATGTTTTATCACCTTATCAGACAAATCAACAGAAAAAACTACCTCTGCCACCTCTACACATGAAACTGTTTCTTTAACCGCTTCACCTTTGACACTTGTTCTGCATTCTAGGACCCACATCATATCACCAAACTTGTGGCCTTCATTTCTACCATCCACTAGATCATCTCTCTTTGCTTTGACATGCTTGTCGACAGAGAAAATAGTTTTTAGTGCCAACAGGTATACATGTATCATATATACTTTATAATTAAAGAAAAAAAAAAGTATAATTTTATATATTTTGAGTCATTATTAAAATAAAAATAAAAATAAGTCATAACCAAACACTATATGAGGGACAACTAAAGATTTCATGAGGCATAACCACAACATTATCATAATTTTAAAAAAAAATTAATTACAATTAAATAAGAAAAAGGACATTATTAAAAATATGTAAGGTACATCCCGTTCAATAAGTATATATACATAGTAAAATTTCTCTTTTATTATATATACAAAGCAATCATAAAAATAATTTTAAATGTCACTTCAAATGGTGGGAAGTGAAGAAGAATTTTCATAAAAGGATTAGTAAAATCGTCGTGACGTTCGTGAGTATTCGAAATTTACTTTACAAAAACAAGTGTAATGCGATGCCACGTTAAAGAGATTCTGCATTAAAAATAAAAATAAAAATAAAGTTTAGACAAATTGGTTGCGGTGGTTTAATCATGTCAAATGTAGGGGCACTTCTACGATTTGAAACTCCTTAAAAAGTGCATTATTTGTATGACAAATATTATACAATCTTCTAATATCACTTTCATAAAAATAAATAACTGTCACAAATCGTTGTAGTTTCACTTTAGAAATTATAAATTATAAATTTTAATAACACTCAAAAGATTGCATAACATTTAGAATAAAGATTGGACCCCTTTCTCCCCATCCCCTTTGACTCCCTTTCTTTTTTAATTGGTCACTTTTTCTTTTTCTTTTTTTTCTTCTCCTCCAATCACCACCCGTCACGTGTGTGTGTGGGGGTGGTGGGGGTTGAAGTTTGAAGGGGTCTAAATCACTGCTGTAACATTTATTATATAAATATAAAATTTACTCAAAAAAATATATAACAAAATACATACAATATGTAGTTTTAAAGGATGCATGCTATAGAATTTTCATTTTAGAGTATTGCTAGAGATCCCAAATATTCTACCAAAAGTTTTACCAAATGTGTGTGGGACCCACACAATGTAGGTCCCACACCCATGTGAGACATTTGGTAAAATTTTTGATAAAATTTTTGGGACCTCTAGCATTTTTGTTCATTTTAATACTAACACAAGTAATATGGACATACCTAAGAACATGGGTCTTTATATGCTCTCCCACCTTTATCTGGTATGTTGTTGTAATCGGCTGAGTAATGCTATCTTTTCAAAATCAATATTAAAAAATAATGTTCGTGTGTTTAGATTCTGTTTGTTTTGATATTTGGTTGAACAAAAAGTAAATAAAATGTTTTTTATGAAAAATATTTTTGTATCATTTTCTCAAAAATGACTTACCTTTAAAAATTTTATAAGTCCATTTTTACAAAGTTGACTCTCTCACTCATGATCTTTTCCACACATTTTAGCATTTTCAAATAAATATTTAACTCACTAAAAAGTCATAAATGACACTTTATTGAATCAAAATTTTTCTTTTAAGAAATAAAATATTTTTGTTTTACGTGTCAACTAAACGCCAAAAAATAAAATAAAAATATTTTTTTTATGTAAAATTAATTGGCAAGAAAAATATTTTTTTTATGTAAAATATTTTACGTTTAACAAATGGAGCCTTAGGTAAATATAAATGTGTGGGTAACAAGGATAAATCTAATTCATCATGAACATTTTTTGAGTAGTTTTTTAGATGTAATATTGTTATAATGGATGATGAGCTGATTTTCAAAGACTAATCAAGTGGCATTTGATTTGGTTCTTCAACTTATTAATTACTAATGCTATCATAATGGGAAAATTATTAAGTAATTATGAAGTATTATGTGATATTATTTACATAATGTACTCAATAAATGAGGAACCACAATTAGGTGAGTCATTTTTATTTCTCAACCACCTAACAAAGTGAGTTAACACTGTTTGACCGTGAAAATTTCTCCACCAAGGATCCTCTAGAGTGTTTTTTTCCTAAAACTTCCTAAAGTGGTGTATTGTATGGTTGAGATTTAATATTAAAAAATTGATGTGACTTGTCATTAAATCTCAACCACACAATGCACCACTCTAGAAAACTTTAAGAAAAAAAAATTCTAGAGGATCATTACTTAAATTTCTCACCACCTCCATTAAAGTGAGAAAATTGCCTAAGCAATATCACTTAATACTCCAACACTTATTAATAATTAATTACCCGTCATAGTTAGGACCACTCATTTTTGGTTCTTGAAGAAAATTTACAAGTGCCCCTGGGACCACGTGACTTGTGCCATAAAGCAATCACAATGATATTACTATTTCGTTACCCAACACAAAATCACAAGTCTCACTTCCTCCACTAATTATAAAGGGGCACCGCTTGATTTTGACTTTTTATTTTTATTTTTTTATAGAACGCCACACCACCTGACTATATCACAATATTTTGTGGCAATATTCTTTCTCTAAACATGAAAAGCAAGCTCCATATATAATCCCCTCCTAGCCATCCATACAGCTCATCCCTATCCTACAACACTAGATATACATAGTGCCCCAAAGAAACTTGGAGATGAAACTAGTTGGGTGGCTATTCATCAGTCATTTTTATTTCTCAACCATCTAACAAAGTGAGTTAACACTGTTTGACCGTGAAAATTTCTCCACCAAGGATCCTCTAGAGTGTTTTTTTCCTAAAACTTCCTAAAGTGGTGTATTGTATGGTTGAGATTTAATATTAAAAAATTGATGTGACTTGTCATTAAATCTCAACCACACAATGCACCACTCTAGAAAACTTTAAGAAAAAAAAATTCTAGAGGATCATTACTTAAATTTCTCACCACCTCCATTAAAGTGAGAAAATTGCCTAAGCAATATCACTTAATACTCCAACACTTATTAATAATTAATTACCCGTCATAGTTAGGACCACTCATTTTTGGTTCTTGAATAAAATTTAAAAGTGCCCCTGGGACCACGTGACTTGTGTCATAACGCAATCACAATACATTATGGATGATATTATTGAGCAAGGATCCTCTAGAATTTTTTTTTTTTTAAAATTTCTTAGAATAGTGTATTGTGTGGTTGAGATTTAATGACAAGTCACATTAATTTTTCAGCATTAAATCTCAACCACACAATACACCATTTTAGAAAAAAAAACACTCTCTAAAAGATCCTGAGTGAATATTATTTCGTTACCCACCACAAAATCACAAGTCTCACTTCCTCCACTAATTATTTAGGGGCACCGCCTGACTTTTTATTTTTATTTTTTTAGAACTCCGCACCACCTGACTATATCACAATATTTTGTGGCAATATTCTTTCTCTCCACATGAAAAGCAAGCTCCATATATAATCCCCTCCTAGCCATCCATACAGCTCATCCCTATCCTACAACACTAGATATACATAGTGCCCCAAAGAAACTTGGAGATGAAACTAGTTGGGTGGCTATTCATCATCTTATCTGCTCAAGCCCTATCAATTTTGGCTATTGAACTGTCTTCCACAACAACCAGAGACACAAAACACCATATCCAAGAACAAGCAGTTAATGGTAAGAAACTAAGAACCCTCTCTATGCCTTTGTATAAGAAAAGCTCAAAAACAAAAAAAACAAAAACAAAAACAAAACAAAACAAAAAACAAAAAACAAAATTGTTTTGTGTTTCACATTCATTTTGATACAAATATACTATGTTGTCATATATGCAGATGTAAATGGGGCAACAAGTTTGCATGGAGGAAGTGAAGATGGAAGAGGATATATTCATGTGTTGAAAAAAGCAATGGTTTACATGAGAAATGCACATAGTGGAGCAAGGGGAGCAAAGGGATCTTATGGAGGTGCAAATGTAGTTCATCGCCCTCCCCGTTCGGAGAGAAGTGCAGCTCCTCTATTGCTGAAGAAGAAGAGCTCCCCTTTCTTCTTCATGCTCTCAACAACTATACTATGTGCTGGCTTCAGTTTGGTCCTTGTTTTTCCCTTCTGATCAAAATCTGGACATCAATGGTAGAGAAGCTTAATGGGTTGCTATAACATCATGTTGGTTTGTTTTGTTTTCGTTTTTCCCTCTTAGTTTTGCTATTCAGCTTCCTTGTGTGCTCTGTTTGGATTCCAACAGAAATGATTTTACTAGAATTATGGCACTCGTCATGTAATTTAAACAATCACTGATTGTATTTATGTGATGGAAGTTGTTACAAGTTGGTGTGCTAGTCTTTGTTGTGTATAGGCCTGCACAAGTTCATGTGTGAGTTCAGTTGGATAATAGTATGCAAAAGAGATGTCAAGGTAACCAAGCAGGTGAGAGCTCATTCGCTTTGATTTTGGTGAGTCTCCACAAGGCAACGCAGTCCCCATCTACCTTTGCTACACGCTTTCACGCACTAGGATCCTGATCAAGTTAAGATAAGGCTTTAGACCATTTTAAAAGTGTGTTCAGTAGCCTCACTTTGCTTGGACCCATCTAAGTCGTTCCTCTCCAGCTCCCTAGTAAGTAAAATTTATTATAATTGATTGCTCCCTTCTACTCTTTTTCCATCTAGCAAAAAAAAATTGTCCAGGTTGCTCAAGCCAAAAAAGTGGAATTCAGAACTTGTCATAATCAACTGAGCTTGACAAATTATCACACCAAGAACAGAGATAAATGTCTTAACTTGGGTTAAGTCAAACTTTCAATTTGATGGGTCAAGTACACAAAATAAGACTAAAATAAGTTAAGGTTTTCTAAATTGGTTTTACTAAACATGTTGGTATTGCAATAATAAGTCACTACGCCAAAACAGGGCATTAATGGCAGTTTTTTTAACGGCGGTAACGAAAATCGTCGTTAAAGGTACTATTAACGGCGGTAACGAAAACTGTCGTTAAAGGTATCATTAACGGCGGTTTTGTTACCGCCGTTAAAAAAACCGCCGTTAATGCCCACTGTTAATGACGGCGGTCTTTGCCGGCGAAACTCCGGCGAGCTCCGGCGAAACCATCTACAATAAAGTAAAAGTAATGTTTAAATATTTATTTAGGGAATATATTCCATGAAGAGTGGCTATGGTAGAGTGGTTAGTGTGGGTGGATGAGAGATTGAGGGTTCAAGACTTGGGGAGTGCAAGAAGAAAGAATTGTTTTTTGAAAAATTTCAACCTATTTACGGCGGTAAAAAACTGTCGTTTTTGGTCCTATGTTACCGCCGATTTTGGTCGACTTTTAACGACGGTAATTTACCTTTTTACAACGGTTGTACTTTTTCCGACACGCGCATAAACGGCGGTAACAAAATCGCCGTTAATACCGCCGTTAAAGGCTTTAATGGCGGTTTTACAGCCTTTAACGGCGGTAAAAAACCGCCGCTAAAGCCCAATTTTGACGTATTGAGTTTATTAGAATCAAAATGATTTTATATCAAGTTGAGCAAATCATTTGACCCTTAATTATCTTTGGTCAACTTTTGATTTGTTGTAATACATTAAGAATAATAATATATTCAATAAGCTATATTGCATTCATCTTTTTCAAATTTTAGATTTTATTGCAAGGGCATGTAGATAGTGCTAGAAATCTATCAAATTAGGTGGGTTGAAGTGAGCCTTTACCAAACTTTCTTCCGCTGTTACTAAAATTATCTATGTTATTAAGACTAATACTTCAAAAAAATTTACTAGACCAGAAATCACTAATAGTAAAAATAAAAGATTAAATTTGAAAAAAATCCAAAAAAAATGAAAGTAGTCGAAAAAAACAAATAAATTTGACCCCCTTTCTTAATCTTTAAATACACTTTTTTCAAATTTTGTTTCATTTGTTTTTAGTTTTTAGGAATTTCTAATTTACTATAATCTAATTCAAACCAAAAAAAAAAAGGCCAATAAAAATGTTGCTAAAAAACATAGTAGGCTCATAATTTCTCCATTTACCCTTGCAATTAAATCTAAAGTTTCATAAATTAAATACATACCAAATTCCTTCTAGGAAAATTTACCAATAAATCCTATTTCATAAACTCTTAAACCAATTAGTCCCAACTTTATTCTTTTGTTCGGGTAAGTCCTATCAGTGGGGAAGTTTGTTACTTGTTGATCCTATTTTCCATATTTGGTCCTTTTTTATTTTTTTTTTATTAACCATGACACTGTATCCAACAATCCCCAAAAACAGGGATTGGTTTGGAACCAGAAAAAACAGGGATCGATCCCCAAAAACCATGCAATCCAATGCAGACCGCTTCGTCTAGGTTTCCCCTCTCAAAATTTCTAGTCTTGAATCGTTTCCGGACTCGGCTTCCAAAACCCTTGCAATTTCTTCAGGCATATATGCTTTTTAACTCTCTGTAATACAGTTTTTATTTATTTTTCTTTTTCTAAAACTTTTCAGTGAGTTAATGTGTTGATGTTTGTAGTTAAGCCACTCTGTTTTAGGTTCAATTATTTTTCACATTGCTAATAGGGAGATCTCTTCAGTTATCAAAATTTTTGAGAGACGAGTGAGGCTATGAATCCTGTAGTGACAGATTCATTCTCATTTGTGAAACAGAGAAATGTGTGTATCTGTGTGTGTGTGTCTGTCTGTGTGTATCTGTGTGTATGTATCTGTGTGTATCTGTGTGTGTGTGTATGTCTGTGTGTGTGTATCTATCTGTGTGTATCTGTGTGTGTATCTGTGTGTGTGTGTCTGTCTGGGTGTGTGTATATGTCTGTGTGTGTGTCTGTCTGGGTGTGTGTATATGTCTGTGTGTGTGTATATGTGTGTATGTATCTGTGTGTGTGTGTCTGTCTGCCCCTCACAATGTATGTGTGTATCTGTGTGTGATAGGAGAAAGATGGGACTACACGGTTTAATAGAATAAAAATGGGACCAATTGGTTCATAAGTTTAAATTTTAGGATTTATTGGTAAATCTCCCTTCATTCTAACAAATTTATTAATATGTTAAATTTCAAGTTAGGTGATGTTTGATAAAGTTGAAAACTGAAAACTGAAATTTGAAAATTGAAAGTTGAAAATTAAGTATTGAAGACTAAATGTTGAATTTATTAAGTTAAAAAGTTGTTTGATAAAAATTTAACTGCTGAACTAAAAATAAATTATTTGATATGTATAACATTAAATTTGAAATTTATTATTTTCAAATTATATATTTTAATTTTTATATTGTGATGGTGGTGGTGGTGGTGGTGGTGGTGGTAGTGGTGGCAGCGATGGTATGATGATGATAGTAGCGATAGTGGTGGTAGCGGTAGCGGTTGCAGTAGCGATGGCGGTGGTGGTGGTGATGGTGGTAGTAGTAGTGGCAATAGCGTGGTGGTGGTGATAGTGATAGTCGTAGTGATCGTCATGGTAGTGGTAATGGTGGCGGCATGGTGGAGGTGGCAACGACGGCGGTAGTGGTGACGGCGGCATTGGCATGATAGTGGTGGTAGTGAGTTTAAAATAATATATACTGTTACTTATAATTAGTATTTATAAATTTTAGTTAGAATTAAGTAACTTTCATTTGATTTAAAATTTTATTAAGTTTTAGCTTACATCTTAAGAAGCGCTTAAATTTTTAAGTGATATCAATTGTAGTTATCAAACAAACTTAATTGATTGTCACTTAAGGGTTGTTTAGGATGAACTAAATAAGTGTACTTTTTGACTTTTTGGACTAAAAAATACAAGAAAAAATATTGTTGTTTAGGATAACTTTTTGACTTTTTACGAAAAAATGTGTATTAAAATATTATATAAAATAGCAAAATTACCATATTACCCCTAAATGTATAATTGCTTACTGACAGTGATGGTACCATCATTCATACGGTTGGCATGAAGATGTATACAACCAGATTGCCTACGGTGTTGTTCGGCCCGTGGGGGCCCACCATGTGTCTCGTTTTGATAATCAAAACCATTCAATGTGTAGAACTCGTTAAGTATTATATGTTTGTAAAAAATCACGGTGATCGGATATCGATAGCTATTTAATCGGATTAATTTTTTGTCAACCATTACTTTGTGTACCGTCCACTTTTTTATACAAAACTGATTTGATCATATAGTTATTGATATCCGATCAACGTGATTTTTTTACAAACATATAGTATTCGATGAGTTCTACACATTGACGGTTCAGATTATCAAAACAGGAGCTGTGATAGGCCTTCACAAGTCGAACAACACTGTCCTATGTAAATTTTGTGTGCACCCACTTAACGAGTTCATACCATCACTTCAGACCAAAACATTACTGCAGCCAAAAAGTTGACTTGCACTTTTTTTGGAAAAAATTGTTTTATATATATATATATATATATTTTATGAATTGTGATAACTTTTTGATTTTTTTAATAAATTTTTGACTTTTTTACTTTTTTCAAACATACCAAACTAGCCCTTAATACATTCAGTTTTAAGTGGTGATTCATATTATCAAACACCTCTCAGTTATACAATGAACTCAAAGTTCTTTGCATCCACGTTGCATTTTCCTGTTATATTTCATAAACACATTTCAACTGAAATAAAAAAGAATTGTCCAGGTTCACAATAAACATAAATAATGTACCCAAAAAAAACAAAGGAAAAAATACGACCAATGGAAAATTGTTTTGGCAATATAAATGTATCATAAATCGACCGGCTCGATTAACCAGCACGACATTGTCGGATGATTCAATCCTTTATATGTCAAACAAGAACTTCTCAAAGAGTTTCATATGTTCTGTTTGGAGCGAAATCGCCACCGATAAGCTCCCATCATTGGTTGGACTCGGCAATGCAAAGGCTAAGCCTTCATATGCAATCCCGCCCGGTCCCATGAAAATAGGCCGGCCCCAACCAAAATCCGCGTCATGAATCGGCAGCCTAACCCAACTGGTGATCCCGAGGTTTGGGCACTTGAAAGTGTGGGCTCCACGAACGAGCGCCTTTAAATCGGGCTGTAGTTCCAAGTAATCAAGAGCGGATCTTAGATAATCATTGTCCATCCGTACTAATGCATCGTGAATTCGACTTGCGGCATACCATGTTGGCTTTGATTGGAGATCACCGGCTATAGCCAGAGGCGTGGTGGTGAAAATCACATTGCCAAAGTAGCCCGGTGGTAGTGCAGGTCTTAATCTGGACCGTCCATCTGTCGCGATGTACATCTTGGTTTCTTGATTATCTGGTAGTCCCCGTGCCTTGCACACCGATCGCCACACATGTCCTGCAAGCATTTCATACGAGCTGTAATTGACCATGTTCCCATCTTCCTTCGACTTGGCTTTGAGAGTGTTGAGTTGGTCCTTGGTTAATTTGAAAATGGAAACCGTTGCCTCAGGAACTGATTCGGGCTTTGTTGATTGAGGATCGACTTTCATGGAAGGAGGGGGCTGGTATTCAATGTGGTGGAAAGCAGGTTGTGGTGGGTCCCGGGCACGGAGCAGGGTCCGGTCAATGAACGGTGGAATTGTGAGGTCAAGACCACGAGCAATATCAGACCATGTGTTGACAAAGTGGAGACCAGAAGATCCATCTGCTACGTGATGTTGCATACCAACACCGAGGGACACTCCCCCACATTTGAAATACGTCACCTGCAAAAAATCAAAGCATACTAAGATCGTGGTATTGATGAAGATCGAGAAGTCCTCGGATGAAGAATAAATTAAAGGATAATTTTAGTTTTAAGAAGATTGAGTCCAATAGTTTGAACTCAACGCTAACTGATGTATACAACAGAGTCGAACTGAAAATGAAAATAGCATAAACCTATCAATAAATATGCTGAACCTAACTAAATTAACACAATGAGTTATCAAACTAACATGAGTTTGGTATTTCAACATGCACTGATTTATTAACTTAAACTTCTAATGATTTTTTAATGCTTTACTTTGATTTCTAGTTTGTAGACATAAGCACAGGTGTGCTAAGACTCATTCTGTTAGATTTCTAGTGACATCTCTGCCTCAATGGGTTATACACCCTAGCTCAGTTGTTCTTGTTTCCAATAAAAAAACTAGAAGAGAAAAGGAGAGTGACATAGCAAATGTAATGCGGTTTTGCAATTTAAGTTTATAATTTAGATGTGGTTCATAAAACTCAAGATCTAGTTATTAGGATACATTTCAATCAAATGAATTTAGACTGTTTGGATCTAGGATTCAAGGAGTGATTTGTGAAAGTGAGAGGAAAATGTGACAAAAATTTAGGTTCTATTTCACTCACTTTTCCCATCCTATCTACTTTCCATCTTCAAATTCCTCAAATTCTTAAACCCAAACACAACCTTACGGAAATTAGCTACAAGTTTCATCAATTATCTATCCAGCCCCTATTGCCGCCTGGAATTCTTCTGCTCAAATGAATTTTCACTTTAATAGACCTAATCTTAACCTAATGGTGACGCCTAACGCTAATGTTTGATATCATGACGAGAATCGAGGGGTGTACTTTTTGGGGCAACCTTGCCTTAATTAGATGTAAGTACATCCAACCATATTTTTGACAGCTAACTGAACCATAAAACAACAGACAACCAAAACCAATACCTACTACTGCTCGGTTTGATTAAGTTTTTCTTCTGTAATAAATCGTTAGGTACAAGCTTGTAATAATTAACTCAATTATAGTCATGTTAGGTGGCCCATTTCTTAAGAGTTTTGAAATCAAATTATTGTTAACATGTTTTCCACCTTTCTAGTTCCAGCCTGTTTCTCGCCTAGAACCAAATGTGGAAAAGCATTTATTTGGGCCAACCCCCTCACTAAATGCACATGTTGCTAACCGTCATCTCCCCTAAAGAGTTGTACACAAAGAACTTTCCAATAGTTAGGTGCACAACATCGAAGGTCTAATGATAGTGAAACTCAACAACGTAAATGGTTCAAATCAAACAGTTCAAATCAAACCATTAAGCACCATATCCAGTTCTCTTCCCGTGCATGTTGTATCATTCATCAGCGACTTATGATAGTGAAACTCAACTACAATTTCCACAACTACAATAATCAAAGTATATCCCTCTCCCTTTTAGTGTCTTTTAATTTCTGTCATTAAATACAGTATTGTTATTTATAATTTTTATGTGTTCTGTGAACCACATAGTTCCATTTACTCAGACAAAAGCAATAGTCGTAAAACTCAATGGCAACTATAGAGATAAATCACATACACTCAAGGAGTTAATAGCTCCTATATAGTTGTAGTGTTCCTATGCATAATTGTAATAGCAGGACCACCATACCCCCAAAAAAAAAAAAATTTATTTCAGGGCCAGGGCACCCACTAATATTGAAACCAAACAGTCGACGAATTTGGATAAAGCTTTTTGCATGTGAAATTTAAATTAAAATTGGAAACTTGACCTAGAAGTTGGGTTGCCATTGCATCAGTTAAGGCATCAAAATTTTTGTAATAAAATAAGAGGGGCCTATGGGTGTGTCTATATTATAAACGAGAGAGTCGTCTTGTCTTGGCTTTGCTTGAAGGTAACTTTTGATAATTATGAAAGAGACAACTTAGCTACATGCTTACTTCATTCAAAACAAAAATAAAAATCAACAAGGAACACGAGGTATAGGTTTTGCTTGGGTTTGTGGGTGTGAATTTGAGTTTCCTATTAGGTAGCGTAAGATTTCGTTAAAAAATAAGAACAATAAAATAAATAAATAAATAATTCAATTCATTGAAGAACCATTTATTTTTTGGGTCTGAATTTGGGAGTATTTGGTAGGTAGGTGGATGGCTAATGTGTGTACGTAATGCATATGTACATGTAAATATTGTTAATTAGCAATACAATTAAATAATAAACTTCAAACAATTTAAAATGTAAAATAAAATTTTTAGTCTTTCAAAGATTACCTCAACAAAAATCTAAAGAATATGAAATTTTATTTATCCTGATTTGAGTTATTCTAGTATTCAAACATTTCACATATACAAATAGAATTTTTTGGCAGATTTCTTGTCCACCACTCTTTTGTACTAGTTTCTTTTCCTCTTTTGTTTATTTATTAATAATATCTCCCTGATCATAACAAAATGGAAAAACTGCAAATAACTGGTGGTACTTTCATAAAATATTTATAAATTCATGAAAAAATTTATATCTTTAAAGTTAATAAAGTTTACCACTAATTTGTAATTTTTTTTTTTTGAAAACACGCATTGACGTTCAAATTTCCCAAAAGAAAATTCATATTTTTAAAGAATGATTTGGATTGCCACAAATTCTACATAAAAAGTGTGTTTGTGTAATGACTTTAGTTTTGAAAAAACATTTCAGTAAAAACATGACTTTAATTAATTTATTAAAAAATTAGAATTCTATTTTGAAAACATGATTCGAAAATAATTTATATTTAGGAACATGACCAGAATTGTTTGAATTTAAGAATTTTATTTTAAATTTAATAATATAATTTTAAAAAAGGCAAAAAAAAAAAAAAAAAAAAAAAAAGAATAGAACACCAACAAAACAATCTACTTAGGGCACCAAAGACGCGATTTCAACTTCTTTTTTTTTTTTTTTTTTTTTTGTTGTTGTTGTTGTTGTAAATTACACTACCATCCCATAGTTTTTAAAATATACAACAAGGTTTATAAATAGTATAAAATTACAAAAATAAACCATATAAAATATATTTTTTCACCTGACTAATAAATTATTGATAAAAAAATTATGTAAATTAAAATTTTAAAAGAACAATATAAATTAGTCAAAAAAAAAATGGTTCATTTTTTAAAATTTTACCTTCCCTCTCCCAATTTTACTCCTAACGATATAGAATTAAAGGTTAAAGATGAGAGAGAAAATAGTGTGAAATTATTTCATATAGAGAATCATTAGTGGTGAAATTAGGAATCTCAATCAAAAAATATAAGGGGACTAAATTATCAAAACTATAAATTTTATCAATAATGTGTAAGAGTTTTAAATTAACGTTATGTTTGATTAGATGATTTGAGTAGGAATTTAAAAAAAAGAAATAGAAAAGAATAGTGAAATGTGAATAAAATATAACTATATTTCACATTTCACATATATTTTTTTCTCTCTCTTTCTCTTTCTAAATCTCTCTCCAAATCCTCTAACCAAACACAACATAAGAATTCTAATAAAGCTCTAATGGTGGATGCCACATGCTGATGTGATGATTTGATTTCTTTTTTTTTTTCTTTTTTTTTTGACAACTCTAGTATCAGAGTTCTTTATCACTGTCCAAATTTTATTGTATTAATTTTAATTTTTTGAAAAAAATCTATGTAATTTGTTTATCAAAAATGTTTTATGCCCCATTTTCCCTTCATCCCCTTTGATTCTCTCTCTCTCATTGGTTACATTTTCTTTTTTTTTTTCTTTTTTTCCTGCTTCTCCAATTACTACTCGCCACGTGTATGCCACGTGTATGTAGGAATTGTGGGGTAGTGATTGACGAGGGTCTCTATCATAGCTCTTTGTTTATTTATTTATTTTACTAACATGGGACCTACTGTCATTCAACATTCTCACGAAAAGCTAAAAAAACAACAAACTCCAAATAAAATATTAAAAAAAAAGTTCAAAACTTTAAAGATTTATTAAATATTTTATATGAATGAAGAATTAAGTTTTACGTGAATTTTAAATCTATATAAAACTTTTGATAAAAATTTTAACAAAATCTTTTATCTCTAACATTACTCTGAAACAAAGGAAAGAATAAACAGAGTATAGTAAAAAGCAAAAGAGAAAAGGAATCATCATCCCACCTGCAAGACGAGAATAGGATACGATGAAATCCCTTTAGAATAATCGACGGCGGGAATGAGCTGCCGAAGCTCCAGCGTAGGCGCAAAGTCCCCAAAATCATCGACACAACTATCACTTTCTGCTTCCACAAACAACACTCCTTCATCGTTACAATCGATTTCGATACGCCCATCATCGTCACGAGCCAGCCGTCCAGCCATGGGATAGAACGCCACGAGGGCTCTGCTCAGGGCGTCTTTTAGCACATGGGGTTCAAAGAAATTGGGCGAACCATTGGGTCTGTAAAAGTAGACGCTGGGTGTGTGGAAGCTCGGAACCACCAGGTCCACGTTCGAGTTCCACAGCCTCCTCTTCGAAGATGGAATCTCCTGCGCCGCCTTCACCATTGTCGACTCCCTCACTTCTATCCTCATTCCTAACTTGCGCCTGTCGACTCCCTCACGTTTATTTTTTTATTTTTTTTTTTTTTTGGAAATTTGAAAATTTGATGGAATTTGAATTTGAATTTGAATTGGGGATTTTTGAGAGAGGAGTTGTGAAAATGTGTGAAGGAAGGAAAGCAATATATGCGTGGGTTTAAGTTAACGCATGAAAATGGAAACCAGAGACAGAGAGAGATAGAACAGGAGGGGGGTTATGAATTTGGTGGAAATGGGTTGAGTTTTAATCACACAAGTAAAATAATTTTATTTTTTATTTATTTAAATTGATGTTCACCTACCGCCGCGGAAATTGATCAGGACCGGCTACCAAACGACAGGTGTAAAAGTCATAGTTGAACACTAGCACAAAAGATTAGAATGAGGAAAAATGTTTAATGCACACGGTAATATTAATACAAAATTATATAAGGCTTCGTTTGGTAAGGAAGTTTGGAGTTATTTTAATCATAAAAAATAAAATGAGTTATTTTATTTACAATAAATAAAACATCATATTCAACAATGCTACACACCCCCAGTTAGGAATGGCAACGGGGCGGGGCGGGGCGGGGCCGAGGACCACCCTCCCCGTCCCCGATCCCCGATAGTGAGAAATTCCCCGCCCCCGCCCCCGATCCCCAACGGGGACCCTATCGGCCCCCCACCCCCGCCCCCGATCGGGGTTCGGGTTTCCCCGACCCCGAAAATCCCCGACCTGTTCAAAAAATATTCAATGAATCTGTTGTATACATAAACATATATATACTCAAAAATCTATATATATATATATATATAAATATGAATCTATTGTATTGAATATGAATATATATATACTCAAAAATCTGTTGTATATGAATATATATACTCAAAAATTAAAAAACCTGTTGTATTGAATAGATTCATATATACATATATATATATATATATATATATGAATCTGTTGTATTGCATATATATATATATATATATGAATCTTTATATATATATGAATCTATCATCATCATCAACAGCAACTTAAAAAAAAAAAAAAATATATGAAAT